GCGACCAGGTCAGGGGCCAGGATGGAGCCCCACTGCCGTGTTGGAGTGAGGACAGGAGATGGAGACGGTGGATATCTCCGAGCTGGGCAGGCAGAGCTTGCTAATGGGGTGGCATGTTGTTGGTTTTAACCCCCTGATCTTTTGGCCGACCTGCCCATTAGACTGTAAGCTCCATGAGGGCCGTGAGCCTGTTGGTCTTGTTCACAGGTGGTTCCCCAGGACACGGTACAGGCACTTAATAAAGATCTAACGCGCGGTGAGTTAAGGAATGAGAGCGTGGGCGGACGTGATGATGACACCCCAGTTTCTGGCTCGGCCTTGGGAAGGATGGTGGCCGCACATGGAGAGGGGAGGACGGGGGCAGAGGGGTGAAAGCAAAGCCCAGGGTCAGGGGAGTGGTAGAGGGGCCTCGAGAGACCAGGCAGGCAGTGCAAGTGGCATGGAGAGAGGGAGGGAGAGGGGGTTGGCTATTTGGGTCACTATTGTGCCCCCAGCATCCTCTGGAATAGAGAAAAGGCTCATTATGTGTTTGCTGAATGAATGAGTGAGTGAGTGAATGAATGAATGAATGAATGGAGTTGAGAGGAGAGTTCTGGGCTGGAACTATAAATGTGGCTGTCACCCGCCTGGACGGTGTGTAAGGCTGTGGGAGTGAGTGAGGTCACCCAGGAAAGAGGAGGGACCCCTGCTGCCCACCCCATCCCCCAGCCCAGGCATTGCTGATTTAGGAAGCAGAGCCCGCAATGCCAGCAGGTCTTAGGGAGTAGCCCAGAGGCAGGCAAATGTGGCCGAAGGGGGGCTGGCCCACAACCCAAGGGAAAAGGAGAAGCTTCCGGAGCCCACAGAGAAGGCCCTGACCCTTGCCCTGGAGCCACAGGTCTCCTCCTGCCTCCCTCTCCTCAAACTATGACGTCCAACTCAGGCTGCCCAGCGAGCAGGCCCCAGAGTCCCTGGCAGCCCAACACGTGCCGTCTGGGCGCAGGTGTGGCCGCCACAGGCCCAGGTGGCTGAGCAGCTCGGTGCCACCTCCTGTGCGGGTACCAGAGCGCACACAGAGCCTGGGGCTGGGCACGAAGGCGGGTACTCACTGTGATGAGGCTGTGGGGGGAGGCGCCTGGGTACAGGTCATCAACCCAGGCCCAGGGAGTGCGGGCTAGAGGCACCCCCGACGCCGGCCTCCACGCTGGCATGCACCAGGGACTGGCCGGGGAAGGCAGATGGAGTCTCGCAGGGAATTCCCGAGTCAAGGGCTTGGAGGAAACTCGTCCTGGGAAGACCTCATCCGAGCCCTATTGGGACCTGGGTCTGGGCCTGCCTCCACTGCTAACCAGCTGGGCGGCCCCACGTGCCTCCGAACACCGTCCAATTGGAAGAGGGCCTAACTCTACCTCCCACGCGGAGCAGGAATTCTTCCCACAACCCCCCCCCCCGCCCGGGCCAGGCTTAGGACCATCCAGCGTCTCCCCAAACGTCTGTGCACAGCCGGCCGTGTTGTTAGCAGCATCTGCCCGCCGGTGGCCCAGTTGGCCGAGGGAATGAGTGAAGGGCTGCTGTTCCATTCCCAGTCGGGCACGTACCCGGTGATGATTCCGTCCCAGGTGTTCCTCCTTTCCGCTCCCTCTCTCTCCTTGCCTCTCTCTAAGCCTGTCCTCAGGTGAGGACTGAAAGGAATAAAGAAAGCGCCTCCTGTTCAAAAGGCCTGGAAGGACCAACACCAGACGGGAGCAGGGTCACCTGGGGGGGGGGCGCAGCGGGGCTGAGGGGCGTGGCGGGGCTGCCCTGCTCATTTGTGTGCGAGGCTTCGACACCACGTGTCACACGGCAACGGCCAAGAACACAGCAGGCTCCTCGCTGAACGCCCTCTGCCTCCCGAACATTTCCACCTGCTGGGCCGGCTCTGCTCTCTGGGACCAGGGAGTCTCTGAACCCACTCCCCCTCGCGCACCCTCCACGGGCCTGAAGGTGGGGGTCACCTTTGCACCGAGTCGTCTAACTTGTTCCCAGGGGGTCCCCACAGGCCATCCCCTTCCGAGCACAGATGATAAGTCTCAGAAGGAAGAAGCAAGGGCCCCCTGGGCCGGGTGTTACCTCCCGCTATTGATCCAGGAAGCCTCCTCGACCTTATGTGAGGGGCGGGGCAGCGGCACGATCAGATCCCTCACTTCCTCCAGCCTCGGTTTCTTTTCTACAAACAGGGAAAACAACACCTATGCTATGAGAATCGATGGATGGTGAGAACATAAAAACGTTAAAAAGCACACGCCCTGCCCGAGGGGTTAGGACTTAGGTGTCCGTCTGTCCGTCTGACGGCAGCTAAGCGTTGGGCCCAGAGAGCCAGACTCCTTGGGTTTGGTCCCAGCGTCGCACGTGTGTGCTGTGTGACCCTGGAGAAGTGAACTGACTCTGCTGTGCTGGTCTCTCCTCTGGAGCACGGATGCCGACACCACCAGCCGCGAGTGCGTTTTCAGGAGCATCGGCGGCCCTGCCCAGCACCCAGCGTCAGCCGCCGGCCATTGCCACCCTGGGTCTTGCTCCTTCGCCAGAGGAGGGCGTCACCACCCTGAGGCGAAGTCACAGCACCGATCTGAAAGGCGAGGCCGTCCCCCAAACTGGTCGTGTGTTACCAGGGTGAGCTGTCCCCCGACCTCCCACCTCCGTAAGCGATGATGATGATGATGATGATGATGATGGGGAATGGGCGCTGTGCTCCGGCCTCACTGACCTCTCCCAACGGCTCCAGACATCCACAGCATCGTTACTCCCATTTCACAGATGAGGAAACAGAGGCTCGCACAGCATCGGTCATCAGCCCAAGGCCACACACGTAAGGAGTGACGGAGCCAGGACTCGAACCCGAGTCCCTCTGACCACCGAAGTCAGTCTCTGTCACCAGCGCCCCGCTCTTGAACCAGCTCCCTCCCTCGGCTCCCCACCGGCTTCTGGACCAGAGGAAGCCCAGCCTGGTCCCCCAGACAGAACTGCCTGCAGTTTCTGGAAGGTGGGAGGAGGGGCTCCCTGGCTCCTCACTGAGCTCTCCGCCCTCGTGCACCCGGCGCCACGCCCCTCCAGGGGCCACCGGGACCCCAGCTGCATCCCCTCGGGTCCCCTCAGGACCACCTGGCAGCTGGTACCCGGGCTGCTCGCTGGGTTCTCTGCCCGCCATGAAATGGTGCCACATGATCTATATAGACAGACCCAGCCGTCTCAGACGTGGGCCCTGGTGCGTGACGTCACGGAGCCAGCAGTGCTTCCCACCCCATTATGGCTGGCCCAGCAGAGCCGGCTGCAAATGGCTTCTCCTGTCTGGGGGTGGTGAGGGGGGGGTCAGAGCCCCCACTTGCCCTCCACAGCGGAGGAGCGATCTTATCTTTAATTGACAACTGGCCGCCTGCCATGCCTCGCCTCTGCGGCCCAGGCTCCAAGCCCAATTCTCCCTTTCGCTTCAGGAACAGGCTTCCCTCGCATTCGCATCTTCCCTCCCCTCCCCTCGGCCCGTGTCCTCAGTCCTCACCCAGCTGCTCTGTCCTGTGGGTGTGTCTGGGTGTAGACGGCAGAAACCTGGGGAGAAAGCCCGAGAGCTACAGGAGAGGGTGGGGCAGGAACGGATGCTGCCTGCATCGACCGCATGTCATACAGAGACTCCAGGTCTTTCCGCTCGCTGCTGCCTCTGGAGTAGGCGCTACCATTGTCCCCATTCTACAGACAGGGAAACTGAGGGTCAGCGAGGTTGTCCCAGATGGCTCACCTAGTGAGTGGCAGGTGCAGACTTTAAACCGAGGCCCTATGACTCAATTATGCCTGGAGGAGGAGGAAGTAAGACAAGAGAAAGGAGACCAGCCAGGCTGGTGTGGCTCAGTGGTTGAGCGTCAGCCCATGAACCAGGAGCTCACAGTTTGATTCCTGGTCAGGGTACATGCCCAGTTTCAGGCTCAGTCCCCAGTGGGGGGCATGCAAGAGGCAGGATGCTTCTCTCATCATTGTTTCTCTCCCTCTCCCTTCCTCTCTCTGAAATCAATAAAAACATTTTTTAAAAAAAGAGTAAGGAGAACAAACATACACCCAGACCCGGCTGCGTAATTCACAGGGCCCAGTGCAAAACGCGAGCCCAGGGCCCCTCCAGAGCCATGAGTCATTTCAAGTCAGCGGCAGCTGGGATGATGTCAAGCGTCGGGCCCTTTTGAGCAACTGCCCAGGCCACAGGCCCGTGAAGCCAGCCCTGCGTGTGCCCTTATGTGACAGCGAGGGGCGGCCCCGTCCCTTCCCACCGCCCCACCCTCTCTGGGCCCTAAGTGGTCCCGGCTGTGCCACCAGCCACTTGCCGGCCTCGGTTCACCAGCCATCCAGGCTGCGCACGGCTGTGGCATCCCCAGGGCCCTGGCCCACATAAGGTGGTGCGACTTCGGGGGGAGGGAGGCCCTCCACAAACACGCAGGGACACAGTGGCGGCCTCTTCTTCCAGGGGCGGCGGGAGGCCCCGTGGCAGGGGGACTCAGAACCCGCTGGGGAGGCAGGGGAGGCTCAGGGTGTGACCGTGGCAGCTCACACTTCCCCTCTGAGCGCCAGTGTCTCGCTCCGAATGGATGATGGTGCCCGTGGGTGGGGGCGGGGTTACGCGGAGGGCGTCGCAGTTCTCAGGTGTTGGGGTGGGAGCCCTGGGGGGTCCCCACAGACACAGAGGCGGAAAGGAGGGGCGGAGGCGGCCGCTCACACGCAGGAGCAGCTGGTCGCTCCAGATGTCTTTATTGAGGGTCGAGCACAGCATGACAGTCGAAGGCATGCAGACAGGGTGACAGGGCCCTGGCCTAGGCTTGCCTCAGACACACAGGAGGGGGCAGCTTTAGAAAAGGACCAACACCAGGGAAGGGCAGGGTGGGCGGGGAGCGGGGAGGGAGAGCCGGGGGAGGGGCAGAGGCCAAGGTGGAAGGGGTCACCCGGCCTCCGCTATTGCACGCATCCTCTGGCCACCGGCCAGGAAGTACAGTATTGCAACTGGTCTCCACTCGCCCGAAGCTCCCCTTTCTCAGACCCCTGAGCCCGTGGGCAGACAGACCCCTTCCCTGCTGTCTGCCCGGCAGCATCATTGAAAACACACGGACGAGGGAGACAGAAAAACCAAAGATTAAAAAAACCCAAAATTCCCCCTCAGTCAGGGACACAGGGAAGGGGGGCAGGGGTGAAAGAAGCTGCAGAGAAGCCCCTGGAAGTCCCCCCACAACTGGGGCGTGGGGTGGGAGGTAGAACCCCAATCTGGGGTGGGGTGGGGCTGGTGGGGCAGTGACCCCGGGGGCAGCCTGGCCTGGCACAGGCCACCGGCCCACAGGGAAACACCCCCACAGGGAGAGTCTAGCCTGGGCCCACCCAGCTGGACGGGCGGCTCCCAGGCACACTTTTCCTGGGACATTCCACACGCGGCACGTACAACGCGAACAGGGAATCGGTGAAGGGAGGGGGGGCCTGGGGAAGGGGCGAGGGCTGGGGGAGACGGCCTGACGGAGACAGACCACCGATAGCACGTGCACTACACACATGAGTACAGTATGTATGAATATAGATGCTATATGTGCATATATATCTCTTCAATCACAACAGAACAACACGTCGGACCCGGATGGCTGCGGGCCCCAGGGGTCAGACGGGAGGTTTTCCATCAGTCCTGTGCCAACAGGTCTTGCCCAGCGAAAGGTCCTTGCCTGGGCTCCAGAGTTCCCCTGAGCCTCTGTCTGTCTGTCTGTCTGCCTGTCCCTCTCACGTTGCTGCCGCGTTAAGAGAGGGTGAGGACTTCGGCCTGGGCATAGTTGGACGAGAGGGCGTCTGGGCAGGTCTCTGTGTTAAAGAGCACAGGTGTGAGACACGGGGACGCACACTTTCGGCTCAACAAGGCCTTCAGGGGGCGGAGGGCAAGGCGTTCAGCAAGAGAAAGGGAGACACAAAGAATGAGACGTTAGGAGGAAGGCAGCTGCCGAGGAGGCGGGGGGCTAGAGAGCAGGCCGGGGGCAGAGCTGGACAGCGTGGGACACGGGGCTCAGAGGCCCGGCAGGGCAGGGATGGGTCAGGGTCCGGGGGGAGTCCTTTCACCACCCTTCTGCCTCCCGGGTGATGTTATGGCTCAGCTCCACACCTGCTTGAGACAGAGGGACCACTGGCCCAGGAGAGAGGGAACCAGCTCTGCAGCCCGGCACAAGGCAGGGGGGACGCTCCTCCCTGGCCTGTCACCCCCAAGCCAGCAGCCGGCTGCTGTCTGCCCACTCAGGCTCCCCCCCACCCCCCGCTCCCCTCCCTACCCGGCTCCATCTGCCACCACCACCTGGGGCCCGCCCATTGTTCCAGGGGCTCAGCCATGGCATACCCAGCCCCCCCCCCCACCCATGAGGCAGGTGGAGTCCCGGGAGCTGAATGCTGACCAGGAGGGCTGGGGAGCGTGAATGTGCCCGTCCTTGTTGAGAAAACAAACCGGGCTGGTCCCAGCTCACAGCCTCGCCTCTCAGAGGCCCTGGGGCTGAGCAGTGGCCTCCAGCCCCGATACTAACTGTACAAACTGAACGTGAGGTTAACCCCCAGGCTGCTCCCCTGCTGGGCGGGAGAGGCTGGGCCGGGCTGTGGAGGAAAAGCTTCTAGAAGCCAAGGACTGGGTACAGGTCCAAGTCCAGATCCAAGGTGAAGTGCACTGGGCTGTCAGACTGGGGCAAGGGCGAGGAGAGCCTTCCGGGGAGGGGGGAGGCCCGAGCCTGGGCCAGCCTGGGGCCTTGCAGGCAGCACCCCCCTGCCCCCAGGGGCTCTGTCAGCTCCAGAACCTGCTTTGCCTTCCCCAGGGCCCCCAAGGCCGAGGTGCTGAGAGCGAGAGGGCAGACACCCGTGCGGCTCTCCATTGGCCAGGCGCTGGGTCAGGGTCCCCCCTACAGAAGCCAGGGGGCCGGGAGGGACATGGGGGAGCCCCTCTCCCAAGGCTCTAGGGGCTCCAGCCTGGCACTCCTGCCTCCCGTCGCCCAGGGACATCTGTGCCCACCACCGGGGCGCCGTGAGCATGCCCATCCCCGTGGGAGGAAAGGGGGCGGTGGGTGCCGTGGAAACTTGGGCTCCTGACAGCTCAGGGGACGGCTGCCACAGAAATAGCCGCCTCAGCTCCCTGAACCAGAAGCGCCAGGCAGAGGAGAAAATAGCCGCGGCGCCCGTGCTAAACTGGACGCCCAGCTCGTCACGTCCCCGGCAGGGCCAGGCCCGGGGGCCAGGTGCCAGGGAGCCCTGTGGGGCAGGACCGAGCCGTCCCCGCGAAGGGGCAGCTGGGCCCTCGCACTCGGCCCCGCGGGAGAAGGTCCCTGGCGTCTCCATCCAGAGCCCAGGGCTGTCCGGTCCCTGTCCCTGTCCCTGAAAGGGACCTGCTCCCTCTTAAGGGTGGTCCCATGGATCCCCTGTTTTCTCCACTCTTAGGGGGACATTTCACTGTGGGAGCCAGTGGGAGGCGGCCCCCGAGACCACAGCAGGGCTGGGCTCTCCCAGCCCCCATAGGGGACAGACCTTCTGGAAAGCGCACCCGAGCCTGCCCAGGGCTGGAGACGCCCAGGGGGTGCTCCCGTTCCGGAGCGAGCTGACCTTGGCTCCCAGTCCGGCCACACCCATCCCTGCCCACCCTGGAGGCAGCAGACGGCCCTTCTTAGTCACTCCCGCAACCACGTTGCATAATCTGACTCTAAAAATTGCCAGGCGCACGGCTCCCCTGTCAGCTCTCATTCCCATCAGGTGGAACAGTGAGGCAGGGGCTGGCCCTGGCTGTGGAGGGCCGGCCGGAGGGCCTTGCTCTGCCCACTGCTGGGGACGGGCCTGCGCCTCGGCTCCCCGCCCCCTCCACCCCGGGGAAGTGCAGGGTGCCCCTGCCGGAGTGGCAGGCAGGGTAGCTCTGTCCCCCCACTCCCCCTGAGCTGCCCCTGCCAAGGTGCAGCCCTGCTCACACAGTGACTTACGACCCTGTTGTGCTCCGGCTCGTTAGGTAAATGAATACACTTAATTAGAGAAATTAGATGAGTCTCCGGTTCTGGCAGCAACAGGGCTGGTGGGAGCGAGGCGAGCAGGGGCTGGGCTGGCAGTGAGCGCCGAGGGGGAGGGGAGGCAACAGCTTGGAGGCAGAGGAAAGCAGCGTGGAGAGAGGGGCCGGGGCGGGGGCGCAGATGGGGTGTGGGTGTCCCCTGGGGGGAGGGCCTCCCCGCACCCCTGGCCACAGCAGAGATGCTCATGCGACAGCCTTAGTCCTTGCCGCTCTGGGTGTGGGACGGACAGACAGACAGACAGAGACACTGGTTGCCAGCTGTTTGGTTACTGGTTGAAGGCCCCGAGGAATGGAGATGTATTTGGTTAAGGTGGGACTGTGTTGGGGAGGGCAGGGCTCAGAGACACAGGTCCTGGGGGTGCCGCCCCTCCCGCTCAGGATGGGGGGCCCTGAGAGTGATCCCCTCCGCCCTCAGGTCCAAGCCTGAGCATCGTGGGGAGCGGGGTGCTGTGGGGAGCGGCTCAGGGGCCTGGATTCTCCTGCATCCACCGGCTCCCTGAGGCCCCAGGAGCGGGCCGGCGGGCACGAGCGGCTCCCTGTGTGTGCCCTGTGTGTGCGGGCCCAGGGGCAGGAGGGCCGGTGCAGTTAAGGGGCTGTGTGTCCAGGCGGCGGGCTGGTGAGGGGGTGTGGAGGGAGGGAGAGCAGGAGCTTTCTCGGAGAGTAGGGCGAGCTGTATCGGGGTGCCAGTGGAGACAGCCCCAGACTGGCTCCGGCTGCTGCGGCTATGTTGCTTAGACTCCTGGACTTTTCACGGCCTTGGTAGAGAAAAGGCACGGGTCAGAGGGCGCGCTGCTCACCGGAGGGGCTCCACGGCCTCGAACTCCAGGGGACCCTGCAAGGCAGGCGGCCCAGCCGGGTGGAGGCGCTGGCCTCCCCGGGGAAGGCTCCCCGGTCCCCTGAGGGTGGACTCCAGGCCACACCCCCAGCTGACCTCTGCCCTGCGCTGGCCCCAGCTAAGTTCCCCTCCGGGTGCGTGAAGATGCAGCGCCCCCCTTTCAGAAGCCCTGGGCAGCACCGCCACCTCCAGGCCGTCCTCACTCTGATGCCAGGGCAGCTACAGGCTCTCCGTGGGGCCTGCGTGGCAGGAGGAGGCCTGTCCGCTCTCTCCTGGTCCTACGTGAGCCCGGTGCGGAGAAGTGAGAGCAGCGGGCGCAGGGGAAAGTTGCCGAGAGCGCACGGCACGGCCTGTTTCCTGGCAACCCACCTGTTCCCGCTCGAAGGTCACTCTAATTGGCTGAGTTACACGCTTGTTGCCAAGAAGCAGTGTGGAGGCATCTTGAAGACAGAGCAGCCGGTCCCCAAGAGCCCCCAGAGATGCAGGGGTGGGACGCAGGCCCTGCGGGCGCAGTGCGACGCCTTCCCCAGGGCCACCTGCTCCCCATACCTCACGGTCCCTCCTCCACTCCGTTCCTTCCACTGAGCCCCTCACAACACTGGGGGGAAAGCAGGGGTGCTCAAGTCCTCCGTGCGGTGGGGTCAGGGCACCCCAGGGGCCCTATGGGAACAGCGGTGTGGGAGGGCCGGGAACAGGGCCTGGGAAGGTGGCTCTGGAGGCCACGTGGGCTGAACAGGCCAGGGGACATCCTTGGGGGGACAGGCTATTCCTGCAGCAGGCACTCCCCCTGCCTCCCTGGTCTGGGGTTTGGGGACAGTGAGAAGTGTTGGGGGGACTGGGCTGGAGGAGGGCTGGGTAAGAAGTGGCCCCAGAACCAGGGCACGGCTTTGTTAGGGGGGATCAGGGTTGATTCTAAAACTAGGCAGGGCATGTAGGGAGGTTGGGCCACAGGACAGGAAAGACAGACAGACAGACACAGACACAGACACACACACACACACACACAGTGACCAGGGCCCGGGCAGCAGCACCTGGACCTGAGGCCCCTGGTCCCCGGCCACTGCTGACCGGACCATCCTTCATCACTCCCGCCCCCCGCAGGCCAGGAGCCCCAGCTCCACCCCCACTTCTGCCAGGGCCTGTGTGGGTCTGGGGCCTGCTGATGGCGCTGCAGCCTTCCTGATGGGAGGCCATGGCGGCCTCTGTGCACTTCCAGCCCTTCAGAACACACCTAGGAGGGGAGCTCTACCCTGCCCCCCGACCCCTACGCCAGCCAACTCCTCCCTGTCACACTCTGGCTCTACTTAAGTCACATCCGGGGCTGCAGAGCTGGGTCCGCCCCTCTGGGCTCCAGGCCCCTAAAAGGCAGGACGGAGGAGGTGGGCCTGTGCCAGGGGACCTCACACCGGCGCCCCGTTCTCCCCCCGACTCCTGAGCGTTGTGGGGACTACTTACTTGGGGGAGCCTTAGCTGGGTCTAAGGGAGGCCAAGGGCAAGGCAGGCAGTGACCCTGGGAAGCCAGGCCTGCAGGTCACAGCAGGCACCAGTGGAAGAGAAGTGACAGGATGGAGGGGAGGGGCCGGGACCCCTGCTCCCATGAACCCCTGCTCCCTGTGGGCACTGGGGTACGGGCCATGTGTACCTCCCGGGGATGCTGCGGGCCTTTCTAAGGAAATCGGACTGGGAGGTCAGGGTACCCATCCTAAAAGTTGGGGTGCATCCAGGGAAGAGGAGATGATGGCCATGGCCTCAGGGGAGGAGGGGGCTTCAAGTTTTGTGGGGGACACTGGGGGCTCCCCACCTGCCCAGCCTGGGGAGCCGTACCTTTCCGGACACTCCCGTCGGCGCAGGCATAGTCCCCGGCGCTGAGCAGGAA